CCATTTCATATCTCTAGTTCCTAGAAGTAAACACGTGGTTCTGTGACAGCCAGAATGCCATGGTCTCAAAAGGTTACTTCTGGCTAATTTTGTATTACTAACAGAAAACAAGAAAAGAAATAAAGATATAGATAAAATATAAACATAGACACGGGCGCACACACACATACACATACATGGAAAGAAAGCTTAAGCTAAATTTTGTACATTTAACCCCCCCAAATTGATTTTAAATGCTAAAGTCTAGGTGCTGGCAGCAGAGACAGATGACAAACTTTTTAAACTACAGACATGACTACACAGGAAACAATATTCATTCATTCTACCATGTAACAACTATACACACATCAAAATATGTAGACAGAAAGTCAGACAGGAATACAGTAAAGGAGACTAAAACTGAAAATGAGAAAACATTTTCAAGGCACACTCCCAACTGCTTTTGTGTTTAGCTGGAGACAGCACTTACGAATATACCTGAGCACTAACAATAGTTTGGGGTGAAACTGTATTTTTGTAGCCATCTAGAGTTAGAGTTTCATTTGAACAAAACGTTGATTAGTCAGACCTGGGTTCAAATCCTATCTGAAGCTGATTTTTTTTTTTCCTATATGAAGCTGATTTAAGCCTTTCATACTGCACTAACCAAAAAAAAAAAAAAAAAACAACTATAGAAAGTAAACATGGAAGACTGATTAGGTCTGCAGATTTTACATTAGGAATAATCAAGTGCTTTGAGGTCAATGAAAAACATCAATGCCCTTTATGTCTCCCAAAAAATTCTAATTCTAGAGCTTTACTCATAGAGAATAAACAAAATATTGAGCTATAAGATGGTTATTCCTATACAGTAGCAAAAACAAAAAGGAAACAACCTGATATTATGGTATATCCTCAATATATAACAACAATAGCATCCAGGATTTAAAATGTTCCACATCACTTCATCACATGAAAAGTGGTTCTTTTTCTATGAAAATTAAAAAGCAATACATATAGTAAAATGCTGCCTTTAAAAATTTAAAAGTTATTTTATATGTTTATATAAATATATAACCAAATGCTAACAATTGTTATCTCAGCATAACTCTTTCCTCTTTAAATTTCCCTGTTTGGACCTTCTAAATTGTCTATAATGAACATGTATCATTTCCATAACAAGAAAAAAATATCTATTATCATGTGAGAATAAAGATTTAAAATCCTACAGTGGCAACTATACATAAAATACAAAATCAAAAATGAAAAGTTATAAATATCATTAAACCTTAAATAGGAACGAACTGACCCAATTTATAGAAATGGGGAAACCCTAAATTCAGACTTCATAACATATGATTGAAGAACTAGATAATGAAAAAGAGCATGAGGAGAAGTACTGAGTGGGAAGAGGCTGTGAGAATTCAAAAACAGACCTCTTACTAATGGTAGACCGTGCAAAATTTTAGATAGCACCATGGTTTATGTCAGTTGAATCAAAATGCAGTAGGTAGACTAGACACAACCTGAACAAAAAGGAAAATATAAGCTAAAAGACGGAAAAATTGATTTTATTATAAGTAGATACTCAGGCAAAGGTATTTCTCCCTGGAAAGCAATGAATGCTATGCACAGAATAGCTCCTTCCCAATCCAACTCCATCTGTGTCCTCATCCACCCCGGACCAACTTAGAGCAAAAACTTGCAGCAGACGGCCTCACCCAGAGGTGCAGAACCAAGTATGTGGCACAGGTGTTAACTGGTCCTTGGGTAATTTTCAGCTGAAACCCTTTTATGATACAAACTGTAGACTCCTTTAAATGTCTACTAATGTTCTTTCTCTAAAACCACCTATAGAATTGTTTTTGTGTTTAAAAAAAATAAAAAACAGTGCAAACCATCCCTTTAAAAAGTAACCACTAGAATATAACCTGTACCTTCTGCACCAGTACCCTCAAGGCAGATCCTTAGAAGTTTCCACATGAAAGAATTGCCTAAAGTTGTTTTTGTACGTTTTAATGACACAAATTAAACTAAATAAATTGAGAAAAAGAAATTAACCAAGTAGTTGTGACCCAAACTCCTAAAAGGATATGGTCCGGGGATGTAGCTCAGTAGAGCGCTTGCCTAGCACACACAAGGCCCAGAGGTCAATCCCCAGGACCCCCAGAAAAAAAAAAGATAATATAAAAAGATATCTAAAGCATACGACTAGCAGGACCCACAATCATTTCACCTGAAAATTATTTAAGAATCAATTTATATATACTACAGGTAATTGGTACATATTTGGCTGTGAAATTTTTAAATCTAAATTGGGCTTAGGAGAATGTAATTTCTTTAACACTATCATTCAGAGGCACTATTGATAATAACAGTACTATTATTAATTTCAATAGAAAACCATTAGCTCCTCCTCCTAATTGCAAGTATATACTCTCTTGCTCAAGGCCTGAGAGCTATGGTAAAATCCGTCTAACCCTTCTTTACATTTATAAGGAATATGAATGAGTTATCCAGTATATCAGAGTTTCATTCCTGAATTTTCTGAATCTTCTGCCATATAAACAGAAATGAGCACAAACTGTTTTTCACAATCCTGTCCATATTTATTGGCACAGAGACAAACAGGCATTTTATTCTCTGCGTCAAACTCAGAGGCTGAAACAGCTTGCTGTCAGCTTCAGAAACCATTTTTTTTCACAAGCCTGGCACACTGCCTCAAGCCAACGAAACACTACAGCACGTTGAACTGCCCACACTACAAATTATGTGGAATGTTCTCCGTGTCTTGTGGTTACAAAGGTACTAACTTTGTGGGTCATCCAGTTCAAATGAAGGGCACATCTGACCTCAGAGAATTCCCATGAAACTGAAACTAGTTGACCAAGATCCCATTCACTTCAAAAGTCTATACTCTCAGGCTCATAATCAAGCATCTCAAATGCTGTTTTTCAAAAACCCAAGAGACATAACATAAACTCTAAAAATCATTAATGTGCTTCAAATAATCAATAAGAATTGACTCTAAATATACATGTCACAGCTCCAAAAACAGGGTGGGTGGGTGCCACCTGCAACAAAGGGAATTTGTAGCAAATATAAAAACATTCCTGGGGCTGGGGATATAGCTCAGTGGCACAAGCGCCTGCCTGGCAAACGCAAGGTCCTGAGTTCGATTTCCGGTACAAAAACACAAAAACTAAAAACATTTCTTGTGAAGAACTAACTAAAGCAAAGATCAGTCTAACAGCTTATTCAGTTCATTCCTAATCTTCATACATATGCTGAAATACAATAGGTTTGCCTGTGAAATGTGATTAAGTAGTCCAAAGGTGAATGAGACAGTTTTCCTTAGAGTAACAGCAGCATTGTATTAAAGATATTACTCTCCCAAACACTAATGTGTCCTCCCAAACCAAATAATGCTTAAGGAAGGGTCTATAAAGTGGGGCACCAGAACTTCCCCAAGATTTGACTCTCAGGCCTTTTTAAGATGTACTCTCCAAGTACTACACTAAAAGAGAATGCCCTGAATATTATTTCTGAAGCTAAAAGAAAACAACACATTGACAAGTGAACAGAGATTTGCCTACCAAAGACAAACAATGAAACTTAATCAATCATCCATTCAATCACCCACTGTTGTGGTAATGCATTCATTTTAACAGACTGATATGTACATAAGATCTTGGCATATGTCTCTCTGGTCCAATCTTCCTTAAAAGTTCCAGAATACACAAGACCACAGTATTATTTAAGTTAACTGACTGAGACTAAAATGTTGAAAGAGGACAAGGCCTAACAAGAACTATTTTTAACTTCCGATCTATTAGACCTGCTGTTTTTGGTGCACAGGTATCTTCAAGTCCCTCAATGGTTTTCTCTGCGCTGCACAGTTAGATGACTGACACAGATGTTATCTGTAACAAGTTATAATTTGTATTATAAGGCCTATATAAACTCACGTGTCTGCACGTGTGCATTTTCAAAAAAACTCATTCATAAAACAATTATGCCAAAGGAAATAAACCTACATAAATTTAAGGCATCCACATTAATCAAGACAATTCTGGGAACTAATTCACATCCACCTTAGAACCCAAATTCTTCCCTTCTGGCCCACAGTTCAGTAAAATTAAGGGACACTGGCAAATGCAGCGGGGGTTTTAAGTATGTAACTTTTCCAAGCAAATTTTTTCTCCAGGATTGTTCAGGCTGCTGCACATTTTCCAGAAATGCAATTCTTTGTTTATTAAGGTTTTTTGACAGCAAAGCGACCAAAATGTAAGCACATAAAAATCTATATCCCAAGCAAAAGTTTACAATATAAATGATTATTCTGCAATGTTTTCTTTCAAAATTTCACTAGCGCAAATAACATGTTTTCTACACTATTTTCCAACTATTTTGGTACTACATAACTTTCTCACACCCAAGCATATGTTTGTGAATTTCACTTTACTTCATGACACGTTTTTCTTTAAATAAGTTCTCACATTCTATTTTTATTGTTCGAAGTGATCTGGATGATGTCACCAACTATGTCACTAAATTCTGGCTATGCAACACTTCACCAAACGTAAGGACTTCTCATCTGCACTTTTTATCTGTGCCTGACATTAGACGTACATACACTATGAGGGAAGCAGGCACAGGGAGGAAAGGCACAGGGAGGTACAGGGTGGTGGAGCCCTTCAGTGGGAATACATGGGGCTTCCTTCACCCATGACACATGTGTAATAAATGTACTTCAATGACAGAGTTCGTTCAACGGTTACACGTATTACATACCCCACCCATGGATAAAACTGCATGAAGCAAGAAACATCAGGTTTTATTTACAGTTCGTTTAAGTAGTATTCCTAAGATTACCTGGAACCTTGTTAAAACATAATGAAAAATAAATCCATCAATAAACAATGAACACCCCGTTTAAAAAAAAAAAAAAAAAAAGACTAACCTCACCCTCCCTCCCCGGGGCGTGGGGCGCGTGCAGCTACAGCAGAGCTGTACTGTACCGTATTTCCTGAAGGTGGAGGCCGGGACCGAAACATGCGCTGAGGACTAAAGGCACGTTCTGAAATCGGGGCCGGCCCTGGGGGAAATTTTCACAAAGGTGTGCCGCTGAGGGTGTTTTGCAGTACCTAGGATTTTTTTTTTTTTTTTTAAGAAAAGAAGGAAAGAAGCAGTTTCCTACAAACAGGGTGCAGGGGGCTGGCACGGGCGCCGCGGAGAGCGGCGGGGGCTGCAGACGGACGCGCGGCCCCGGCCGAGGC